ATTAAGGCGTTGGACTCTCACATGGCTGACTGCAGGTTGAGTCCTGAACCTGGAGGCTTGAAACTCATGCCGAGTGTGTGTGTGTGTGCGAATGCACAAAACTAAAATCCCAAGAGGAGAATGGAGGAGAAAGGATTGTAGCATGGCCATCCCCCCTGGGGTGTGATTTCTCACTTTCTTTCCATCTTTCTCTGTGTCTCTGGTAAGTGCACATGCCCTATAGAAAAAATCTGTCTCTGAAAAAAATAAAGATGTCTCTGACCTACTATTTCTTACTGTCAATCCATGTCTTGTGATTGCTATTATGTGTCCCCTTGTGTATAGTTTCGTTATGCTCTTGAACACTTGGTCATATCATATATGTCTTAAAACTAATGAAACTTGGTTATAGTTGTCCAGGTATATCATCTGTTAATATCTCAAATTCATAGTATTCAGTGAGAACATTTTTTTTTTTGGAGAGATTTTCGCTATAGGGCGCGTGCGCTCACCAGACAGCCAGAGAGAGACAGAGAGACAGAAAGTGAGAAATCACCCCCCAGGGGGGATGGTCACGCCACAATCCCTTCTCCTCCAATCTCCTCTCGGGATCTTGGGCACGCACACACACGCGCCCGGCGTGAGTTTTTTTAAGCCACTGGGTCCGGGACATGAACCGCGGTCGACTACGTGGGAGCCCAGCGACATAGCCATTACGCTAACTGCTGGTTCCCGAGTGAGAACATTTTTAACAAAAGGAATTTTGTATTTTAATGTGTTTCCTAAGTCTAATGTATGGGTTAAGGGATCATGGAGTTCTGTTGTGTACATAGCTCACTTGCAATAAAACTTAAAGATTTATGGTTAATTTTTTTATCATGTCAAAATTTCAACATGTTCTGCATAGGTCTACTTGTGGAAAGATTTTTGTCCTTCCTCTATATACTTCAAAGGCCTTCTTATAGATAACCAATAATTGAAGAAATGTGGACCACAATTGAAAGTGTTCTGTGTGTGTTTCTGGATGTGTAAGCGGAATCTAGATACTCTTAGCAGGGAGTACTTCCCAAACAAGTTTGTAAGACCTCCTCCTTTTGCTGCCTGAATTTAAAAAATTTAAAAACTTAAAGTGACCACTGACAACAGCCAAAGAGTCTTGTGTTGAGACAAAATATTCTTTGTGAGTATTTCAGCTGTGTTCCGTGGGGCTTACAATATCTGCAATCGAGATGACAGCACAGTGGCCTCAATGGTCTCCTGATAAAGCTCAGTTCTGTCCTGTCTAGGTCACTGGAGCAAGTCACCACTCTCTCCCCTCAAACTTTTATAAGGGATTTAAATTAACATTAAACATTCATTAAAACAACAACCTCTCTTTACTCCTCCAATCTTCAAAATGGGAACATGGTCAAGTAACTGGAAAAGAAATTAAGCATCCTAGTTGTTTTCTTATATTTTTAGGGGTCTGCAGGTAGATGGAATTTCTCTCCCAGTGCTACATTTTATTTTTAAAGAATAAAATTTGAGAAACCAAGCCACCAGATCTGGGACTCAAACCATGGTCAGCCATGTGGGAGTCCAGCATTCTTAACCACCATGCCACCTGCCGGCCCCTCCCAGTGCTACTTTTTAACATGAATCTGTTGCAGGTTAAATTTCTAAAACCTAGTGGAGAATGATCATCTCAGTGCAGCTTTCCAAATCATAGTGGCATTTCTCTGGGCAATGACAATAAAGCTGTCGACTTGTTTTTTAGCATGTGTGCCTCTACCTCTGGTTGGGATATTTAGTTTTGGAACTGCTGTCTAAGGAAATCAGTTTTCAAGTCAAGAGTGTTGACGGTAATATTCCAGATGTCTCTTCTAGCTGCATGCATTTTGTTCAGTCTGTCCTTGCATTTCCTGATGGAACAGGTCCCTCTGTGCCAGTGACTTTATGTGATTATAAGATGACAGCTAGGGAAAGCTCAGAAAATGAGAGAAACAAAGGAATCATTTTAAAATACCATCATATTAATGGCAGCCTTACCCAGGACAGTAAAAATGTCTGCAGGGCAATTAGGCAAGATTTTTATTTTATTTATTCCCTTTCTCAGTGGAAGAACTAGAGGGCTGGCCCCAGGCTGTTTCATCACATTACTATTTGGTCCCTGTGGTTCTAGTATGGAGTGAGAATGGGAAAAATGAGCTCATATTATGTTTGTAAATGTTGCATGTGCTCTTGTTTCATCCTCTCAAGCTCAGAAAGCATAACATCAGAGGCCCCCGGTTTTTTGTGTATAGTAACAGAGGAGCTACTGTTCTTGCAATTGCCTTGATACTTTGAGGTCACTGACGATTGAGGAAGAAGGGACATAGCTGTCGTAGTCAAGTCCCTGAGTAAAAGAAAATACACTCTTGCTGGCTGCATTAACTATCTACTGGGTTCAAGGAAAGGTGAGGTGGAGGACATAGTGGAGAAAAATGGCTTGGAGACCAATTGTCTGGGTCCCCTATATTATGTTAATACCAAGCATATCCTTTGTTCGGTTTGTGTAACACTTTCAGTACAAGCAGGCAGAAACAGTTGAGTTTTCTATATTGCTCAGTAGCTTTGGGTACTGCCCTGAAGAACCTTAATGCTGTCATCAGCGATGATTTGGGGAAAAGGAAAAAGTGGCATGCGGGAATTTGAAAATAATTTGTTCTTCCTTATACCTAGAAATATCTAGCTTCCTCTCTAATCAGATTTTTAAAACAGCTCCATTTCCATACGAATTACTCATTGGCTGTAAAGGTCAGTAGGAATTGGTGACCATTAGAAACCACAATCCAATTAGAATGTGGCAATAGCTTCGCTCAGAATTGAATGTTGATTCAAATCAGCTCTGGTAATATGATGCTCTTTAATGAAACCATCATCGAATAGATTAATAGCTGGTTTTTGAAAAAGACACAAAATGAGTGAGAGATGGGAGATGTAGATGGAGACAATGGCTATTTGGTCACACTTTACAACCTTTGTGCTAATAAATGTTCCCAGAGCACTGCTTTTTGCCCACAATATGGATGAATGGCTTTGAAAGCCTAATGGGAATTGATGGCATCCATTGATTACCATTTAAAGCACACCTTCCTAATCTCTAATCGTTGTTGAAGGCAAAATGTTTTCCAGTGGAACAAGTATCTCTTACAGAGGGCCCAAGTCTGGTGTCTTGGTATTCTAAGTGGTCAATTATTTCACATAGCCACTTGGTGCATACTGGAATGGTGAACATAAGCTCTGTTGAATGTTGATACCTAACCAGATTTCCGTCATGATGATTATGTGCTGACGACCCAGCAGATGGAAATCCCTGGCTTTTAGCCCTGACACATGTGAGTGACTTTGTGGGGGAAGGGGATTGTTTCCAAGTAAGCTTCTGGGATTACCATAGTAGTGACAATCAAGACCAGATCAGTTCCAGTGGGTTTTCATCAGTGGGTGCCTCTCCCCAGTTGAGGATTATGATTTGCTCAGTAAACAGGTAGTAGAGGTGAAGTATGGATATCCTGAGCCAATAAGAATTCTTGAAAGGGTCCCAGAACTAACTTTCTCTCCTTCAGGGAGTAAAGGAGAGAAAGCACCTTTGTGAAAACAACTTTCAGGTAATTGCTATAATGTCAAGAAACACACTCCTTATGATCTTCAATGAAATAATTGGACAAATCTCTTGATAATACATATATAAATACATTTCTTACTGATTTATTAAAATAAACTGGTTTAGAACTAGCTTTTTATTTTGGCCCTTTAAGAAAAAGTCAGTAATTATACCTGCCATCCCATAACCTGGTTACTGGTTGGAGAGAGTGACTAGAATTTTTCCTCTTTACTTTTTACCCAAGTGGCTTTTGGATTATCTCTTTAACCAGTTACAGTGGTTCTAGTGCCAGGCAGTGGTAATGTATAGAACGGGTCAAACTGGTTTAGAACTAGCTTTTTATTTTGGCCCTTTAAGAAAAAGTCAGTAATTATACCTGCCATCCCATAACCTGGTTACTGGTTGGAGAGAGTGACTAGAATTTTTCCTCTTTACTTTTTACCCAAGTGGCTTTTGGATTATCTCTTTAACCAGTTACAGTGGTTATAGTGGCAGGCAGTGGTAATGTATAGAACGGGTCCATTTTATAATCTAAACCAATATATTTTCCTTGTTGAGGCAACTGAAAAACATTTACATTCTTAAAAACTCCATTGGTATTCTTCATTATAGTACCATTACCACAGAACAAAGATATTGATAGTTTGTGTACAAGTGGTTTGTCCATCAGATGATTCTCTTACCATTTTCTGCTTCAATTTCCCTTCATCTTTCCCCTTGACAGAGTTTACGTAGAGGTATTTACTTTTGCTACTGAAAAATTTGCTACTTCTCCAATAGGATTTGGCCTGTTTGTATGTGTGTTTGGGGGTTGGGGGTCGCAAGGAGAATAAGTCTACTCATGAAATTAAAACAATTATCAGCTGCCCTGAAAGTCAAATGATCACCATGTACATGAATACTTGAAATAACTGTAACATGTTTCAACAGAAAAACCAATATACAAAATAGAGCATGTAATTTATAGTCCATCACTCATCAATCTTAGAGTCAATTACCTAACTTCTGTAAGCCACTGAGACATAAAATGGCTGCTTTCCTAAAAGCTAGAAGGGAGCATAGATACTATTCAGTTCAATCCTCTTATTCCAGTAAGGGAACCGAAGCTGACAGAAGTTAAATGACTTGCCCAAGGACAAACAATCGCTTTGCAGCAGGGTTGGGGTCCAACCTAGATTTCAAACTCATGCTCTCCACATGCCACTTGTTATGACTCATATGAGTCTTAATTCTAAAGGACAGTGAATTAGATCATCAACCAAGCAGTATTGTATTTAAGACCCTTTCCTTTGATAACATTCCCACCCTTTCCCAACTCTCCCTTAAGAGCACAGTGAAGTTTTTCCAAGAAGATGATAAAATGAAACCTAGCAGATGCAATTAGCTGCAAAGCACTTACTCTGAAAAATTCTTTTGTTGAACCAGAGTCCAAGGTTCCATATGCAATTTCAGTCTGTTTAGCTAAGTCTTCAGCGCTCTCTATTGGAGAAACCATCCTCTCCACAGTCAGGAAAGCAGCGAGATTGGCCGTATAGGAAGAGATTATGATCAGAGTGAAGAACCACCAAACCCCTCCAACAATGCGTCCAGAGAGTGATCTACAAAACAAAACAAAAACAAAACCAGACCCAGAGGGGTCAGATCTCAGTTTAACAAATCCTTGCCTTTATTTTCAGAAACGAGTGGTTTTAGTATATCTGATGAAGGAGGAAACAGATGATATGAGAAAAATTAAACATTAAACAAAAGTCACACATTAACCACAACACCCATGTCAGGATGGCATGGGATAAGAGTGCATGTAGGCCTATACAGGTTTTAATGAAGAAGTTTAAATATTTTTAAATTTATTATTCATTTATTTAGAGATAGAGTCTTGCTATGTTGCCCAGGCTGACCTTGAACTTGTGATCCTCCTGCCTCACTCAGCCTCCGGAGTAGCTGGGATTATAGGCACATACCACTGCACTCAGCTAAAGAAGGATTTTTAAATTATTATTGTTTTAGATTTTCCCAATATGGTGTGTGTAATTGCTAAAGAGGGATAAAGAGAGAGAGGGAGAGGGACAGAGAGAGACAGTGAGAAGGAAAGTGAGAAATCATTCCCCAGAGGTAATAGCCACACTACTGTCCCTTCTCCATTGTCCTCTTGGGATTTTAGGCATGCATGCACACATACCCAGCCTGATTTTCAAGCTACCACATCAGGACTTGAAAGATGGTCAGCCATATGTGATTTTTCCCCACCACCCCCTGCGGGTTGGAAGATTTTTTTTTTTTTTTTTTTGATAGCAGAAGAAAAATCTTTTGACCATCTCCTGCTCATAATTCTGTAATTTAACTTACTGTATTCTCTTCCTGAGACCTTTGCTGGATACCTATGGAAGACTGTTCTATTTCCTTTAAAGCAAGTCATTCTCAACCTTGACTGTACATTAGAATCACCTGGTTTCTTAAAAAACTCATACCTGGGACTAGTAGGTGGCATAGTGGTTAACACGCTGGACTCCCACATGGCGGACTGTGGCTTGAGTCCTGAATCCAGCAGCTTGAAAATCATGTCGGGTGTGTGTTTGTGCATGTCTAAAATCCCAGTAGGAGAATGGAAGAATGCAGGAAGAGGGACTATGGCATGGCCACACCCCTGGGGGTAATTTCTCACTTTCCTTCTCTATGTCTCTCTCCAGTAAATGCATGCTCCCTATGACAAAAAAAAAAAAATCTTTTAAAAAGAAAAAGATTTTTGGGTGGGGTTTTGACCTAGGCCCACCCAAGACCAATGAAATAAAATCTTGGGAGGGGGAGCCCAAACTGTCTGTCTATATTAATTTCCTAGAGGGCGTATGCAAATCACTGGAGATGGACAGAGAGAGAGAGAGGGAGAGAGAGAGCAAGTGAGAAAGTGTCATCCCAGGATCCTTTCTCCCTTTTTTCAAGATTTTTTTTGCCCACAAGCCCCAGGGTGTGTGTGTGTGTGTGTGTCTGCGTGTGTGTGTGTTTTGTTGTTGTTGTTGTTTTTTGAGAGGTTTTTGCTATAGGGTGCGTGCACTCGCCAGACAGGCAGAGACAGAGAGACAGAAAGTGGGAAATCACTCCCCGGGGGGATGGCCACGCCACAATCCCTTCTCCTCCATTCTCCTCTCGGGATCTTGGGCATGCATGCACACGCGCCCAGTGTGAGTTTAAGCCACTGGGTCCGGGACTCGAACCATGGTCGACTACGTGGGAGTCCAGCGACATAGCCATTATGCTAACTGCTGGTCCCTCCCAGGGTGTTTTTCAAGGGACCTGAACCTCACAGTTGGCTATGTGAGATCCAGCCAACTTAACATGCCACTAGTTGATCCCGCCATCTAAATTTTAAAGCTCCCTAGGTGATTACAATGTATAGACAAGGTGGAAAACCACTGATGTAAGATGATGTCTTAGGGGAAACACGATAAAAACCTTTCCGCATTTGTGGAGAAATGGATAGGTACTGATAAATTAGTACTGTTCATTTGAGTTTAATGGATTTAATAGACAGTGCTGTTTTGCAGAGCTGGTCCATAAGGCAAGGAACTTGATGATAGCATTTATTATCACCTTTATATAAATGGCTAATGAGGCTCAGGAGATAAAAACGCCTTTAACAAGCTACACCTTAGTTACACAGGGGAGGCCTCAAGAAACCTACCACTTCTATGAGGGGACTTCAAAAAATTCATGGAAAAACAGAATTAAAGTATGAGTTTATTTTGGTGCAAAAATTTGAAATCCATGCATAGTTTTTTCATAATATGCATAACCATGAACTTTTGAAGACCCCTCATATTACAGGATTTGAGAGGCACTAAAAGATGTTTCCTTGACCTCCAACCCCTTAGTTCCCCCAAACCCTAGAAAGAAAACCATCCTTCTGGCTTATCATGCAAATTATTATTATTGGAAAAAAACCCTTTGTGTTGTATTCAGGAGGCTTGATCAAAATGTAACACCTTACTTCAACAACACCTATTATTTATCCTATCAGTAGGGAATGGGACAGAAGATGGGTGCATTTTAATAAAATTTTGTCTTTAAATGCTATTATGCATTGATATTACCTGGGGAGTTTGTTAAAATGCAGATTCAGGGGACCAGCAGGTGGTGTGGTAGTTAAGTTGCTGGACACTCCCACATGGCCAACCACAGTTTGAGTCCCAGACCTGGTGGCTTGTTTTCTCACTTTCTCTCTCTCTCTCTCTCTGTCCTCTCTGGTCAAATTAAAATATGTGAATAAATAAATAAAATTAAATAAATAATTATTTTAAAAATGCAGATTCAGAAAACATGTGTGTGCAAGATTCTTACTTAAGCATCACAGGTGATTCTGCTGCAAGTGGTCTGCAGACCAAAGTGAGGGCCATTGTTTTTTTACATCAGTGATCCTCAACTCTGCCTGCACATCAATATTATCTGGGCAACTTCAGTCAAAACGAAACCGAACAGGGCCCAGACGGCAGCACAGCAGTAAAAACTACAATACTCTGCAAGGCAATCTCACACAGGAAGGTTCTGGGTTTGTGTCCAGAGACTTCCATGAGCATACCAGGCACACCCATGCTCATGATTTGGGGTTGGCTGAAGCTGGGGTTTGGGGTGCTGCCTATCTCTCTCTTTCTCTTGCTTGTGGGAGAAATAAACTAAAATCAAAACAACAAAGCAGAACAAAAAGACAAAAAACGCCTTGCCTAGGCTCCATCCCAGGCCAGTCAAATCCGAATTCTGGAGATTGGGACAGCAGTGTTTCACAAAATTCTCAGGGTACAGACAGGCTTGCAAGTTATGTTCCCATATCCTGAGTGCTATTTAGGGAGAGGCACCATGTGTAAGTAGAGTTCAGTGTGAAGGCAATGAACATTCAATGATAGGTAATGACTTGCACTCAGGAAACTTCATCTCCTTCACAATGTTGCTGAAGGCTGGCTCTGTCTGCAGCAATGAAAATCTGCTCCCTAGGTTTTATACAACATTGCTACATCATCCCTAGGATAGTTCTTTTGTGTGACAGAGCTCCATACTGTTTAGGCTATGTTCTCCCATGCCCAGAAAAGCTCACAGGAAGAGAACCCACTCTGTCATAAAGTCTAGAATAGGCGTAGGAGCCTGGCACATCTCTAAGCTCTGTGGGAAGAGGGCAGCTCTGGGCTGAGAGCTAGCGGATCAAGCTCTTCTGTCTTCACGAACGTTTTACCACTAGGAAGCAAATTTAAATTCTGGTGTCCCAAGATAACCTTTTTATCAGTCTCTGGAAAACTCAGTTGTTTTAGATGCTTTCTCTCTGATCAAATGATTTTGGCAGGTGTTTTGACAAATAGCATTCTTTATTGGTTAACTATAATAAACCTACTTTTTTTTTTTTAAGTCCGCAATTCTTGTTGCTCCCTGGATGCCTAAAACAACCTTTATTTATTTATTTCCTGAACATAATCACTTCTAGCTTTTCAGATGTGAAAATCTGCTTTGCAACAGATTTTTCTAATAGTTATGCTCTCTCTGGATTTGATCCGGGAACATTTCTCTTTTAATCAGAAGAGGTAAAAACATCTGGATGAGTCAGAAAAGAATGTGTCACATTTCCAAGTGCTAAAAAATAGAGTGTTTTGATTATGAATTTAGACCTTTCATAGTCCTTTTTCATCATTGACATATACATTTAATTTATTCTACACTGACCTGACTCTGGAAATAATTTTACTCTATAGAAGGTCAATGTTCCAAAGTAGTCTCTGTAGCAATAGGGTAATAAAAACAATAACAATAATGTAACACGTATTGAGGATTTCTATGTGTCAGACTGTTCCAATTGACTTACATTACCAACTTTTTTTAGAGAGATTTTTACTATAGAGCATGTGCGCTCACCTTAGAGACAGAGAGAAACAGAGATAAAAAATGAGAAATCACCCCCCTCCCCGAGGGGATGGCCACGCCACAATCCTTTCTCCTCTCAGGATTTTGGGCATGCTTGCACACGTGCCCACAGTGAATTTTAAGCCACTAGGTCCAGGACTCAAACCACAGTCAACTATGTGGGAGTCTAATGATGTAACCGTTATGCCATCTGCTGGTCCTGAGAGATTTTTGCAATAGGGTGTGTGCACTAGTAGATACAGAGACACAAAGCGAGATATTACCCCCCAGGGGGGATGGCCATGCCGCAATTCCTTCTCCATTCTCCTCTTGGGATTTTGGGCACACATGTATATGTGCCTAGAGTGAGTTTTAAGCCACTGGGTCTGGTACTCGAACCTTGGTCAACTATGTGGGAGTCCAGTGATGTAACCATTTTGTCATCTGTTGATCCCAACATGTACCAACTCTTTTAATCTTCTAGCCCTATGGTTAGATATTGTTTTACAGATAAGCAAACAGAGAACTTTTACAGATAAAGAAACTAAGGCACAGAGGGGAGAAATAGGAAATAAATACCCATTTTTTTAACTACAAAATATCCATATTTTAAGAATGATGTATAAATACAGGAGGTCCAATTTCCTTACAAACACTGAGAAATATTGTGTGAAAATCACACGTTTGGATAATTATTGTTTAATTTTTATTTACCTTTGATATG